ATGGATGTCAAATCGAAGTTCGTCAAAAGATGATTAATTTGATATATTATATATGTAAAACCGATAAGAATACAAAAGTTATCAACGTTTAAAATACATTTACAATTCAATAGTTATAACAAAAAATGATATTAAAATACAATTAGTACATGTAAAATGCTCATAAATAAATCAACATATTTATGTTAATCCGAACCTAATTATTTTTGAATTGAAATTAAATTAAAATCTATCAAAGTCAAACAATAAAACATGGAACTTTGACACATATGATCCCAAAGAATGCGAGTGTTCCACTCAATATATGTATACATATATAGGTATATAAATTTAGAATGTCACTATCCTAATTTTATGTGTTACTTTTTTATGCTTATTATAATCCATATTGATGTAGATTTTATACCTAAAAATTTTAAAATTAGGACAATTTTTTTTATACTCCAAAATATACATGCACTTTCTTTTACACGGTCCCATAAAAAAAAAATCTTTTTCACACTACAACTCATGAAGTATATGCAATATAAAAATCGCTTGTCCAAATGAACCGCGTAATTAATAATTATGCTAGATTTTTTCATATATATACTAACGCATATCCAAATCAGACACATAGTTAACAATACGAAACAAATTCTTATATTTATTAATCGTACATCGAAATCCTTCACATAATTTTGTTATGCGAATTTATTTCATATATATAGTTCTCAGAATCCAAATTGATAGCAATATATTTTATTATTATGCGATAAATTTTCGTTTATTTTACATCTATAATATCCGAATCTGACGCATAATTAACAAGTATGCAGTCGCATATCCAAATCGGAGCTGTCCGTGGGCCCACAAGATGACGTGCTTACACTTTCCTTCCCTTGTTGACTGCCATCCTGAGACGACTTCGACAGAGGAAACCTGGTTGATTACACATGGTCGCGACAACGATCTCTTGATGGAATTACTCGTTAATATAAGGCACTTGGAGACTCTTTTGGGGTATAAGTTCCAGGACGTTTCTCCTGGAAGAGGCACTAAAATTAAAGATGTTAAACAATCTTTGGCCCGATGGGCCGACCCGTTTAGCCCGAAAAAAGAGTTAGGGCTTTTTATTGGTAGCACGTTTAAATCAGGATCTTTTTAGCCCGGACCGTTTAAACCGAAGGCCGTTAGGGTTCGCCCAAAACCCGCTAAGGTTGGCCCGTTTAACTTGTTTTGGGCATTGTAAATGTTTGCGGCAAGTAAGTAATATGTTCTTAGATTCATTGTATATTACAATTTTGCTATTCCACTTCACATGTAAGCATGAGCTGTAACAGATTATAATGATTTTGAAAGATAATTATTAACAATATTCTTATTGTACTCCACACCAAAATATTTAAGTCAATCAGAACGACTAATAAGAAACACATGAGACAAAGACCTAACACATGAAACATAATGATAGAATTTATAATGATATAATATCGTAAAAATTTCCAAAGCGTACAGAATAAGTAGTAAAATGATAATTGTAAGTAACAATTCGAATATTTTTTTCTTTTGAAAAAAGAATATGTTATTTAAGAGTTTGTAGTGTGTGTTCATATATGATGTGTAGTTGTATATATATAGAGCGGTAAATACGAAATTATGTTGAAAACAATCGTTAATTAGTCTTTGTAATTTTTTTTTTAATTTTTATTTTTGATATTTTTTGATACATTATTATTATTATTATTATTATTATTATTATT